TTAGGGGTTTAGGGTTTAAGGCTTGGCGTTGAGGGTTTGGAGAGTGCAGAAATCCATAGATGTCTCAGGTGTCTCGCAAAAAAGATGCAATTGCAAAGAGTCAGCGTCATCTTCTTTAATTTTCCCTCCAGAAGCACGACAAACAGCATGCTAGAAAAACTGCGTGATGACGCGTCTGAAGGAAGCATATTGTCTCATGTTGCGACATGCCTGCCCAGACGATTGAAACACACTAAACTTTTGGAGCACCCCGAAGCCCGGGCTGCCTCCTCAAGGCATCGGACTTCACTACTGGAGGGGATCGGAGGGAAATGTGTGGCAGCGTGCACGTAGAGATTGGATTTGGATCTGAAGTTCAGAATTAGACGATCACGAGACGCGCAAACACTGACATGAAGCGCAACTTCATCCAAGCTGAGTGCTGCACCATTTTCCGCGCACCACGCTTTGCCATTACCTTCCCAGTCATGGCGACTATATTGGGTCCCTCATTGCTACTCACAGCGCCATAGTCATCACCGTCGTCGTGTTCTTTGTCGGTAAAAGTTCAGGTGCCGGCGGTGCCTCGTGCAGCCTAGTTTGGGGGACGAGTGATTGTCCTGGAATCTAGAAGGGGTGCGTGTGTAATTGCCTGGCGGTGGTCCTGGACTCTTTGTGTCTCTTTCTTGGTAGCTCCTGCTGTTGTTGTTGCTGTTGTTGCGGTCGTCGTCGTTGTTGTTGTTGTCGTTGTCGTCCTCGTTGTTGTTGTTGCCGCTGTCAATGCTGTTGTTGCTGTCATTGATGTTGCTGCTGCTGTCGTTGTGGTTGCTTCTTTTGCTGCTGTTGCTGCTGTTGTGGTGCTGCTTGCGTTTGTGGGTGATAATCATTGGTTGCAGCGTGGTGCTCGCATGTAAACACAGTAACAGCACCCAATGCAAACATGGAAGAGTATGCCGTATACAACTCTGGCGGCACCACGCTGCTATGGAAAGTAACCGGCAACCAGCACAGCCTACAATAAACCCACCAGAGCAACCACCCCAAACCACCAAAAGATTTTAAGACCCGCTCCCAAATGCTGACTCCTAATTCCAGAACTCTGAACAATCGTAAACCCTAAACCCCAAGCTCAAGACTCAATGTGTTGGGTTCTTGCCTCCGTATCCGAGAGCAAAATTACCTCTGCCAGAATGAGCGACAGCACAGCCTGCCGAAAAGTAGAGCTTGTGGATTGAGTTAGAAAGTTTAAGGTTTAGGTTTCAGGGTTAGTGTTCCGTTCGAGACAGTCGCATTCCAAAACCCGAAGATAACACGAGCACTTAAAGCGCAAAGGCCATAATGCAAGCATGAACCACCTGCGCTTCACGACTATACTCGTGATGGCACTACTTAGCCTATAGACTCTAGACCTCGCAGCTTCAACGCTGAAACTCACGACGTTTAAACCTGAAGCCCTAAACCTTAAACCTTACATCCCACACCTTTATCCTCCACCTTGTAAGCCCAACATGATTCGGGACTTCAGACAGTGTGCCTTTGAGAACGAGTGGGATGGCCCCTCAAAAGCCAATCGAGCTCAGGGTTTGTAGGGTTGTAGGGTTTATGGTCGCGAGTTTTCTTCTGTCACGTTTTCGGGACGAGCTTAATAAGAATGCGAATAAGAAGAAGAAGAGTATTCCAAACTTGAAAACCAATTAAACGAAAAGCCTGCCTGCAACTCGGGGTGGAACGGCGTCAGCATCTGTGTTGCGGACTGCAGCAGAGGGGCTTGAGACAGCTCAGGCTGGAGGACGAGGCCAAACATTCTGCTTGGCGTCTCGGCTCTAAGGTATAAAGTATAGGACTTACCAGCCCAAACACGCAATTCCAAAGCCAAAAGCGCGAAAGCTCCCGACCGAGAAACATTCAACTTGCGAACAGAAAAGCCTGCTTTCATCTGCCGCCCGGCTGGACAAGACCGGGTTCTGTGGCCGTCACCGGTTCCCAACCCCCGAATCAAATCGCCACTTAAATCATCGGCCTTCAGGGAAAAACGGAGTTGAACAGCCTACAGCTTCAACCAATTCCCATACATCCAGCACTGCAAATGCTGCTGACATGCCATTCTTGCTAGTACTGCCCTATATTGTGTTCTGCTGTCTTTCTGTTGGTCTTCTCACTCCTGCTCTTTCTTCTTGCGGTGCAAGGCACAACGAGGTGGCCCCACCCCAAGATTCAAGATTCATCCCCCTCAGTCAGGATGTGCAGGATAGCTTGCGAGACAAAGATACCGTAAATGCCAAATTGAGTGTGCTGGCATAGCATTTTTCTAGATTGGGATCCCGCTGTTATGCTGTTCAGATGACTATCCGGAAAGAACCCAGCAAACCCCTCAACATTAAACATCTTTAAACCCTGAACCCAAACTACCAATCAAACACACGAAAACAGCACTAACTGCTGAACCGTAAAGTCCTCATTGACCCAACATGTCCTAAACCATAAACCCAAAAACCCTAAACCCGAAACTTCACCCTAAACCCTAAACCCTAAACCCTAAGACCCTGAAACCCTAAACCCTGAAACCCTAAAACCCTAAACCCTAAGCCCTATGAAACCGCAACGTCTTTGCTGGCCTCCGGATCTCCCCGCAGGACTTTCTCCAATACTTCGACCTCGCCATGCATCGTCTTAGCTGCATATGGTAGGGCTTTTGGGTTTAGGGTTTAAGATTTCGGGTTTAGCGTTTAGCTTGCACTGCCGTACCTTAAATCGTCTTCTAAACACTATATGTGTGTATATATATAATATATGTATATGTATACACATACATATACATATACATATACATATACATACACATACACATATACATATATATATATATAATGTGAGTGGTGGTCTGCAAAGTACGGGAGAAGCGCTCTGCAGAATCTGCGGCTTGGGTTTGTTCTGGACGACCGCGCCGAAGGCAAGGATGACGACGATGGCCATGCTGTTGTTCCTAAACCAGAATCAACCCACCCCCCCCCCCTACTCCACTCCCAAACCTACTCCCCCTCCTCTATGTACGTATGGTATGTATGTATGCATGCGAAACCATGCCTGCATGTATAGCCGAGCCTGTCTATGACGTGTATGTATGTACACATGCATCCCTGCATGCATAGAGGTGGGTATGACTACGTATGGATCTATACACAGCCCGCATCTTGGGGCTTCGGCTTTGGGGTTGAGGGCCTTCGGGCTTGAGGGTTCTAGGGTTTTAGGCTTCTCAGGGTTCAGGGTTGAAGGTTCAAGGTCTAGAGTTTAGGGGGAGATTCTTTGGAGTTTAGGGTTGTTTCGGGTTATAGGGTCTGGGGGCTGAGGTGCCGACCCGTCTATTTCATGCCCCACGTTTAAGGTTTAGACACAAGCTCTAACCCCCAAGGTTACCAAAAACTCCCACACCTACAGCCGAAACCCCCACACCCAAAACTCCTAAACTGTTGGTCTCCGGACTCCGCCGAGCTGGACGAACTTTTCGCAGATCTGGGCATCGCAGTCGGGGTTTCCGCGGCTTCGGACTAGACCCAGTGTCCTCGTTCTAACGACGAACTCTGCTTGTACTACGCTAGGTCTGCAGCTAAGTATACTTTCACGAAAACCCTAAACCCTAAACCCTAAACTCTAAACCCTAAACTTTAAACCCTAAACCCTAAACCCTAAAACCCTAAGACATGGTGAGAGGCCCTGGCTAACCTTGGGAGCGCTGGGCTCCAACAAGTCTTCATCGGTCCTCCCGTTTCTCCAAAACGCAAAAAGCTTCGACACCCGAAAGACCGGTACGCCTGGGCCTTTAGGGGTTAGGGTTTAGAGTTTAGAACCCTAGCGACCCAAGAAACTCTAGGTTTCGGTCGAAAGCAGGTCTCTGTACTAAGGCACGCTTGGGGCAACCATTGCAGACTGTCCGTCATTGCCCCCAGCTGCCTCGGGCACAACTGCTTGGGTGTTGAGTCGTGTTTGTGCGCGCGTGGTTGGGAAGGTGTTGAGGACATGCTGGTTCACTCTAACCCCTATTTATAAGCTCTAAACACCAATCCTTATCAATACCCTATGATGAGCCCTCTAAACTCTAGAGGTTCATCCTTCTCCGAGGAGTTGGGCACCCGTGAGTGCGCTGAAGCCTACAACCAAATCCGAAATGCCCAAATCCTGGGCCCCTAGCACCAAGTCCATCACTAGTCTAAACCCCAAAATACTTGCTACACCTAAAACCTCGAACTCCAGAACCCTCAAGCCGTAAAGCCTCAAATAGAGCTCCTATGGTCCTGAATAGTGGGTCTTTGGGCTAGAGGGTAGTTGGGGGGTCTGGAAAAAAACCCTACTAGGACCCCCTGTTTGGTAGTGCT